TGGACGCTCCTATAGAGAAACCTTACATATAAAAGCGCAGGTACGTACACAGGTGCTCACATGGCGCTCTCATAAGTATGGACTTGGGCACGTTCAACACATGTTGGCTGTGGCTGGCATTTAATACACTGTGATTTATTATCGTGATTGTTCAGTAAAACAATGTGGACTTTATATTTCCTCATCAGGTTGACTGAGTGACAGCTTGCTCTTGTTGTATTGCTGTGTGTCCCTTTTTTGTTTGTTCTTCTCTTTCTGCAGGCCTTGAAGCAGACTCTGCAGGCCTTGAAGCAGACTCTTGTTCATCACTGACTGTTTATTTTTGTTGGAAACCCCCCCCCCCCCCCCCTTCCCCTTAGTCTTTTCCTTTCACTGAATGCAGTGGAGATGGCAGCCGGCCACTACATCAGCTCCAATAGGCAGCGCCAGAAGCAGAAGACTTTAACCACTGACTTCACTGATCTCAGACTCAAGCCGGTTAACTCTCGTTGACTCAGCTAGACACAATCCAACCAGCCATGAAGTCTATCTGAAGAAGTTGATGTTTAAAAGCCAACAGTTTGTTCTAACAGCAAACACTAAACATGAGTTTCTGAGAAATGTTGACATCAGGAACGTTTAATCCAGACATCAACAAGCCAATTCAGTTTGGTTTATTCAGTAAAAGTTGGTGTAACACGAACACCAGTTTTCTTACTAAACACTTCATGTTGATAGATAGTCTATTTCATTTAGGCTGGTGTGAAAACACTAGCTGGCTACGCCCACCCCTGATTTGCTGGGCGTTTATCATACGTGGAAATGGGAAAGTACTACCAACAGTGTTACAGTTAAATGATTTTAATCTGTAAGTATTCTATGCACCTTCACATTTAAAAGCATGTAAACCTCAGCACCACACTGGTCATAAACTAACTGCTGAGCCATGCTAGTTCATGTTCGTGGAACTCAACAGTGTCTCGACATGAACCACGCCACAATGACTGGACCACTCAGTGGAAACTAGGCAAAGCAGTCTGCCTCAAAGAGTTTCGCATACACCAACAAGTGTTTCCGCCTGTAGATGGGAGCTCCGTCTGCTCTGCTCCACGTTGCATCACATTTTAATTCATCCACCAATCATCCATCTTCTTCTTACCCCGGGTTTCCACAGGAGCCGTCAGCAGCACGTTACTGCAGCAGCACGTCTTGCTCGCGTAAGCTGCTGCTTGGCCCTTCCCACGAGACGCGAAGCAGCAGGAGAGCAGCTGTCACCGACCGAGCACGAAGTCACACGAGTGACTTTGTCAGTAAACACAACAACAAGCAGGAGAAAACTACAACATGGCTCCAAAAGGTTTGTGTTTTATGTTCTGTCCGTTTTATAATCGCCAATACGGACCTGAAAAACAAAGGAGACCGCTAGCTAGGCGATGACTTCTCACGGGGCCGCACAGTTAGTAACCTTTTTTAAAGTAAAGCAACCGGAAGGCAGTACGTTCTTTATTCTGTAAATCTCGGGAGATTCTCTCCGTTTCCGCGTCCGATTTCCTGTCTTTCCTTCCCCAAAAATGTCGAACTTGACCCGTTTCAGAGGCGTCGCGCGTAGAAAATAGAACCGGCGCGACATGCTGCTCCTGAGACGCGGCCGACTCGCGCTGCTGACGGCTCTAGTGGAAAAGGTTCTGTTGACCACAGCAGTTCCTATCAGCAGCTATGACGTGCTGCTGCAGTAACGTGCTGCTGACGGCTCCCGTGGAAAGCCGGGGTAAGTCCACTGGGTCAGGTGGTGGGAGCAGCAGGTCAGAGTGTGTCCAGGACTTTTAAGATGGGGTGGCCCATGTGGGACACTTGTTTATTCATGGGTTGCACCAATGGTTATGCTTATTTATTTATTTATTTATTTATTTATTTATTTATTTATTTACACAAATCGTTTATTTATTTACTTTCTAGTGAATTTTTGAGTTTCACATTGCACAATCACCATTTTTTCCGCTCTTCATCTTCTAGTTTTGTGGTGGTTAGCAAGTCACTTCTTGTTGCATTACTGCCACCAACTGGAGTTGAGTGGGACTCTAAATACTATGTATGTGAATATTAAAATGTATTAATATTAATAATACATGCCTGGGCTAAAAACAAGGTGAAAGGTGCATGCAACCACACACTATTTTGGAGTTAACAACCCAAGCCTTTTGTCGACAATGTAAAGTCAGTTTAAACTGGAACTTAGTGTGGTGGCACCTGGGGTGGCCCATCAGATTCTAAGGGTGGCATGTGCTACCCCAGGCCACTCCCTGGACACGCCCCTGCAGCAGGTTAGGGTTAAGGCGATCCCAAGCCAGCCTCTCCAGCATGTCCTTGCACCCCTTCTCTGTAACAAAAATGTCAGATCCTAAACAATTTTGGTCGGTAGGGATCCAGCAGGTGAGAGAGGCTCTATGTGAATTTCCCCATTTGTGATGTCACAAACAGGGGCTTTTTGAAACCGCTCATTTTACGTATATAATTCCTGAACCAAACACTGACAGAAAACAAATGGATGTTTTTGTTTTTTATGTTTGGATTGTTAACTCACATGGCCGCACAAAACAATACTGAAAGCACCATCCCTCATTTTAACCAATGAGATTATGTGGACTAAGGATACGACTGGGTTTACAAACATAGAAATGCTACAAATCCTTTTCACAAACATTGAAACAATAATAGTCATCCAAATGTCAGAGTTAAGATGTTGAACTCCATCAGAGTCTAGAAAATCACCCACAAACACACTATTGGTGGCTGTAACCCCCCGCCCCAAACAGCTAGCACAGGGAGGCTTCGAAGGTTGTTTATGATCTGATCTACAGACACTTCTGGGATTAATCATGATTAAACACTGATCGACAGAAAGCCGCTTGAACACCAGCAAAGTAGTTCATTAAACAGAGAGCAGATCAAAGAGAGCTGCCTAAAATGATTTCTAGTAGGCTCTCCCTTCTGTCTAAACCAACCAAATTTGGACTGAGTAAAGTTGCTATGGCAACAACAGTCTTTACAGTAGGAGCTTTTCTGTGAGGAATTAGTGCAAACACGTTTTAAAGATGTACAGAAGGACCGATCTGATAAGGATGTGACTTTTATATGAGCCCAACATTCTGAGAGAGTCAAGAGTAAAGATTTAAATGACTAAAGAGAAAGAAAGAAAGAAAGAAAGAAAGAAAGAAAGAAAGAAAGAAAGAAAGAAAGAAAGAAAGAAAGAAAGAAAGATCTTTTATAAAGCAGCTGTAAAAGGATTTTTTTTATTATTTAAAAATATGGTTAAAGTGAGGGAAAAAATGTGAATAAAAAATGTAAGGAAAGGGAGAGAAAATAAAAAGGAAAGCGGGAAATCAGTGGATCCTGGGAAGGTGGAATAAGAATACAACAAGGGGAGGGTGATGGAGGTCACCACAAAACCTGAACAAGTGAGTCTTCAGCTGCTTTTTAGAGGAGACCACTGAGTCCGCTGATCTCAGGCTCAGGAGGAGAGCGTTCCAGAATCTGGGAACCACAGCAGCAAATGATCTGTCACCTTTGGTCTTTAGCCTGGTACTGCACAACCAGTAGGCTTTGATCACTGGGCCTCAGGGACCTGCTGGAGGTGTAGGGACTAAGAAGATCACCAACGTAAGATGGTGCTTGTCCATGTAAGGCCCTATAGACCAGAACCAGGATCTTGAAATGAACCCTGAAGTTGACTGGCAGCCAGTGAAGCTGGAGGAGAAGCGGGGTGATGTGGGTGTGTTTGGAGGACTTGGTCAGAAGCCGAGCACAGGCATTCTGAACCAGCTGTAGACGGTTCAGGGAGGTTCTGCTCAGACACGTGAATAAATGTGTATGCATGCATGCTCATTCACACCCGTCTCCACAGTGTCACTGTGTATATCATCACTGACACATCAACTAAACGATGATAACATTTATTTTAAACATTTAAACATTTTTTTTAAATCAGCATGCCAGGTAACAAGGGCGTAGGAGCAAATTTAAAAGGGTGGGAGGGTGGGGGTAAGATCCCCCCGGTTCCTATGCCCTTAGCAGGTAACGTTTAGCGAGATTGAAATGGAGATGGAAAAACTACTTCCTGTACAGAACTGAACGTGGTACTGGAATCAGGACCAAGGTGTTTGGTTGTGCTAGATCTTCTACCATTAAATACCTGATTAAGTTTACTAATATGTCCACGTTTGCAGGTAAGCTAGTTCGTATGTTGAGCAGCAGAGTTCAGTCTGTGGGTTAAACCATGCAATGGTCTCTCTCAAACGGCCGATTCTACCGTTATTACTGGATGATTGAAGCCTGATGGAAAAAGGAATGTTGGTGACTTAATTATTAATTTAATTAATAATGAGGAACTTCAGCAGATTCTTGACTTCAATGAAGGAAATGAGAAAACAAGCTGCACCTACCAGTAGGAGCCCTATGTCATGGAGCATCTGTGTGTGTGTGTGTGTGTGTGTGTGTGTGTGTGTGTGTGTGTGTGTGTGTGTGTGTGTGTGTGTGCGTGTGTGTGCGTGTGTGTGTGTGTGTGTGTGTGTGTGTGTGTGTGTGTGTGTGTGTGTGTGTGTGTGTGTGTGTGTGTGTGTGTAGGGAGTTACATTCATGGAACTATTGTTTGACAGTGATATTTTAAGCACATGGCTGCACTCTGACAGGCGCATGGAGAGCAGATAAAGGCAGTGAGAGAGAAAAGAGAGAGGGAGGATGAGGAGAGGCAAAGGGAGAGAGAGAGAGAGAGAGAGAGAGAGAGAGAGAGAGAGAGAGAGAGAGAGAGAAAGAAAGAGAGAGAGAGAGAGAGAGAGAGAGAGAGGGAGGAAGGGGGGGGGGCAGCCAATCTGAATCTATCTCAGCCCACACAGCTTTCACAGGCTCGGTGATGTGAGCTCTGAGAGTGAGCTCTACCTTTCCACACCGTCTGCAGCTTGAAGATCCTCAACGTGAAAAAGGTGAGTACACCTTTGCTTGCATGTCGATGCAGAGCTGCTTGTAGATCCAAGCAATCTCCGGTTAGAGCTCTTGTATAAAGCAGGTATGTGAGCAGAGACAGTGTTCGGGCCGGTCAGCTGGATCTCCAGACGTTCTAGTCTGTTCATCTGGAGATAAAGCAAGGACCAAGGGTCTTTGTTTCTTCAGTTTTTTATTTCCATTAGGCAGCCAGCTGTTTGTAGCATCCTAGCAGATTCCCGGTACACTAACTGGTATTTTTACTAACAGCTACATGACACCACTGGTTACTTGTCTGGGATCTTCATGTGTGAGGAAAAACTTAATTTTCTGAGAAGGATAGAACAGGGAAGAGTTTGAATGTGATTTGGATGAATTCCTGCCCTCCCACACATCCTGCTGCTGCTGCTGCTGCTGCTGCTGCTGCTGCCTCTCAACCACATCATGTAGCAGAGCTGGAGAGCACAGCTCTTCTTCACATCTTCCTCCTTTATAAAAACGTCCGTTAGGTCTCAGTTAAAGTTACCTGTTTTATCTGCATCTGCAACTTTTTGTCTTTAAGATGGTCCAGGATTTGTCTCCAGGTTAGAAACAGCTCTTTATGAAGGTCAAATGTGTTTGGATTAAAAACGAACTGATAATGTTGTAACAATAAGTGTTACATTTAAAAAAGTTAACTGGTTTTTAAGCTGCAAACTTTTATCCATGTCCTGGTCCTGCCTGGTGATCCTCGCCCTGCGGTCTTCAGCAAAGCGCACTTGGAGAAAGTGCGCAGTAGGGTTCGAGTGCGTAGTACACAAGTGTGAGACAGGGAGCATTGTGTCATCGATCGCAACGCATGCCGGGATGCTAGTCGCTGTGAGACTTTTTTCATAAACCTTTATTAACAACTTTAAAACAAACAACAAAGCAACTATCTGAAATAAATTTTACTTCATTGCTGCTTTGTCTAAAACATTCAGAGCATCTACTAGTCGTCCTAAAATTAAGTGATTTCATTAGAAAAAACATTTTAAGAAAAAGAACTTGAGCCTTTTCTCCTGCAGCAATGATTTGTGGGTAACACCCTTGCCCAAGGTCCGCATCGCTGCTGACTTGGGTGAAGTGCAGATTAAGGGTGCAATGGGGGCGTGGTCAACTTCCGCACTTGAGAATCGGGACACCCTACGCACTCGCACCCCTAACTGGGAACGTGCAATTGAAGGGTGCAAGTGCGAGTACTGGGATTAGGCCCTAGACCTGGAACTGGTTACCCAGCTGTCACTGGGTGAGAGGCGGGGCTACACTTGGACAGGTCATTACCCAAACCTATGCCAGTTCTAAACTACTATTTAACCCTTCTGTTGTGTTAGGGTCAAAATTGACCCGTTTTAAAGTTTAACTATGTAAAAAGTAGACTTTCCTCTTTTGTCCTGGAATGAGGCTCCTCCGGTGGGTAACAAGATGGCGCCTGTGCTTGGCTTAGCCGCAGTCACCGTCCACTTTTTCAAACTTTTCTCCACTAACCTCCTCTTTTCCACCTTGCTCCTGTCTGCGATCCTCTTCAGTAGTGTCCCTGCTACCATCTCCTAAGATCGCCAGACTCTTTTGTCCTTCCGTTCGTTCACGATCGCCCAAGATGCACCGAGGACGTACCTCCCTGTTTGTTTACCTGAGTGGCGCACTGGCCCGGAGCCAAATGACGATTCCAACCAGGACGCCTCCAGCTACGTTTATCCGGTCCCGGGAAAACGTCAGAGGAAAAGGAGTAAATGAGCAGGAATCCAGGTGAGAATAAGACTTCTCTTAAAGCGTGGTTTATCTAGTAAACATCAGCGCGATCTTCTAGCTTCTTGTCCTTTGTTTGGTGACCTGAGCGCCACTTCCGCATTCCCGCCAGGCCGCGTTGGGACGCGGTTCATCTGTCCAAGTTTTTTAAGGTTGGTTTATCTTCATTCCTCAGTGGTTTCTCCTCCTGTTCCCTCCATGAGTGGTTTTTATAAACACCGTGGATCTAACCCTGCTAATTTACGTCCACTAACTCCAGCTGTTTCTGTAGTTTCTGATTCCTCCACCTCACTCAGCATGGCTCTATTAAACACCCGCTCTGTTAACAATAAGTTCTTCCTGCTCAGTGATCTAATTCTGTCTAAAAACCTGGATTTTCTGTTTCTGACTGAAGTTTGGCAGCAAACATCTGATTATTCTGCTCTGATTGAACTCTGCCCGAGTGGTTATTCTTTTCATAGCCAGCCCCGGGGTTCTGGTCATGGTGGAGGCCTAGTTGTTGTTTTCAGAGACCATCATCCATGTAGCTCTACAACCTCTGGTCACTTTGCTTCCTTTGAACTGCAGCTGATTAAAGTCGGGCGTAAGGACCCGCTCTACTGTGCTGTGGTCTATCGTCCTCCTGGTCCAAACAGTTATTTCCTTCAGGAGTTTAGTGACTTTCTATCCTCCCCTGTGAAGCTGTCCAGACTGGTGATTGTTGGTGACTTTAACATCTACGTTGATGATTCCTCCGATCTCTTTGCCATGAATTTCTCCAGCCTTATGGACTCCTTCAGCTTTACCCAGCATGTTTCTGGCCCCACACACACCAGGGGGCACACTCTAGACCTTGTTTTTACCCTGAGTCTAAATGCTGACAGTGTTTGTCATGAGGACGTTTATATTTCAGATCACCATTGCATTTTCTTTAACTTGTCCGTTTCTGCTTCCCCACCTCCTGCTCGCCGTATGGTTAGTTCTCGTTTTCTTAATGAGAGCACAGCTAGAAATTTTTCTGCTGCGTTTGATCCACCCTGTTCTTCTGATAACGACCCAGATTCCTTAACTTCTCAGTTTAACAAGCACTGCCTCTCCATTCTGGACAACATCTGTCCTGTCAGAACCAGATCAGTTCCTGCAGTGAACCCTACTCCCTGGTTTAATGACAGCCTTCACAGCCTGAAGCGCCAATGCAGAAAAATTGAGCATTTGTGGAAGAAAACCCATCTCCATGTCCATCTGCTGCACCTAAAGGATCTTCTGACATCCTTTAACTCTGCAGTCAGAGACGCTAGGGTTTCCTATTTCTCCAACCTGGTGTCCCAGAGCAAAGGGAACCCCAAGGCGCTGTTTAACACCATCAGCAGCATCGTCTCTCCTGCCTCTCCTACAGCCTCCATCCACTCTGTTGCAGACTGTGAGAACTTTCTGTCTTTCTTTGTGGACAAAGTCAATAAGGTTAGATCTAGCATCTCTCCTTCAGCCTCATCGCTGCCTCTCCCGACTCCAACCAGGCCCATCATCCTAGATAGCTTTGCTCCGGTTTCTTTGTCTGAGTTAACCAAACTAGTTAACTCTATGAAGACCTCTGCATGCTCCCTCGACATCTTACCCTCATCTTTGTTTAAAAGTGCTTTTCAGTCCATCGGTCCCAGCGTGCTCTCTATAATTAATGCTTCTCTGGTTTCTGGTCAGGTCCCTGCTTACTGTAAGAATGCTGTAATCCACCTTCTTCTTAAAAAACCGAGTCTCGACCCCTCTCTCCATAGCAGCTTCAGACTCATCTCTAAACGTCCGTTCATTCCAAGATCTTGGAAAAGGTTGTGGCTAAACAACTCACAGCTGCTCTTGATGAACATAACATCTATGATTGCTTCCAGTCAGGTTTTCGTAGAGCTCATTCTACTGAAACAGCTCTTCTTAGGGTCTCTAATGACCTTCTGACTCACAGTGATGCAGGAGACTGTTCTGTTCTGGTCCTGCTGGACCTGACTGCAGCCTTTGACACTGTTGACCATCACCTGCTACTGGATAGGCTCAGAGACTGGGTAGGCCTATCAGGATCTGCTCTGGAGTGGTTCTCCTCTTATCTCTCTGAGGCCGCCAGTCAACTTCAGGGTTCATTTCGAGATCCTGGTTCTGGTCTATAGGGCCTTACATGGACAAGCACCATCTTACATTGGTGATCTTCTTAGTCCCTACACCCCCAGCAGGTCCCTGAGGTCCAGTGACCAAAGCCTACTGGTTGTGCAGCACCAGGCTAAAGACCAAAGGTGACAGATCATTTGCTGCTGTGGTCCCCAGACTCTGGAACTCTCTCCCCCTGAGCCTGAGATCAGTGGACTCAGTGGTCTCCTTAAAAAGCAGCGGAAGACTCACTTGTTCAAGCTGGCTTTTGTATGACCTTCTTCACCACTCTCTCTTTATTTTGCTCTCCCCACCTATTCCACCTTCCTCAGGATCCGCTGATTTCCCTCTTTCCTATTCACTCTCTCTCTTTCTTAACATTTTTTAACAAATTTTTTTTGCAATTGTCTATTTTTTTGCTCATTTTAAATATATGTTTAACCATTTTCTAAATTCTTTTTAATATTTTTACATTTTTTGTTTTTGTGAAGTGCCTCATGATTTTTATCTTGAGAGGCGCTATAGAAATGATAATTTCTTCTTCTTCTTCTAATCCTCAGACACACCTATTTAAATGCAGCTAAATCAATTTTCACAATTTTGGTCAATTCTAAAGGTCTCAAAAAAAAGTTACATCTGTGGTGTTCCGGGTCCAAAATGACCAGGTGGAGAAAACTGGCTGCTGTATGCATCACTTAAAAGCTATGGGTTGCTCCGAGGATCTATTACGGCCCAATGTGCAGTTATGGCCCACATCACCAACACACACACACACACACACACACACACACACACACACACACACACACACACACACACACAGTTCAAATTATGGTTTGTTTCCATTGTTTAGATCATGGTTAATTCAGAACAACATGCCTGCGCTAACACCATTATTTTCAATGGTCAGTTTATGGTCAGTGCAGGTGCATGTGCGCGCACAAAACCACACACACAGTGTTGTTTATCATTGTTCATTTTATGGTTAAATTGTTTGGTTACTTGGTCTGGTTAGATAAATTTGGTTTTATGGAAATAAAGTAGACTTGTTGTCTTTATTCTGCCGTTTATCCATGCAGGTTTGTTTTGACCCGAAACACCAAAGATGTTTATTGTTAATAATTTTAAATGGTAAAAAAAAATATTTATTTTTTTGGTGGGTGCAGTTTAATATTAGTTTATAACACATTTATAGTTTATTATTACTCATTCTATAAGAAAAATATATATTTAGTGAATTTGAACAGTTTTTGCAATCAAAAATGAGTGGTATATTTTAAAATACTGTCTGTCGAGCCAACTAAAAAACACTTCACACACTGGTTCCATTTATATGAATACATACTAAGCTAGCAATTAGCTGAAAAACAACATTTGAAGAAAACTGGTGATTTTAAGCATTTTCAAGCATTTTTAAATCATGGGTCCAAATGGACCTGCTAACACCACAGATGTAAACAGCTTTCTAACACAATACAAGGGTTAAACCAAGACGCTTTTTGCTTTTGCACGGAAGCAGCCACAGGGAGAACCTCTGAAAGAGTCCAGCTGGAGTTCAGGGCCAGAACCATCTGGCTGTGCAGGAACAGCTTTATTGTCTAGAACCCAAGAAGAGCACCACGTCCGTCCCTCACCTATGGACCAGTCACCCTCCCTGGTGCTTGGCCTCCTCGTGTGGTTGTTGTGATGATCTCCAGTTTTTATTTAGCGATATCTTGTCCTGCTGTTGATGGTTAGGTTTCATAAGATCATAAGTTTCATAAGTTAGATTCATAAGATCGCTGCCAGTTTATTAAACTGTCCGGGTGTGTTTCTCATTACACCTGGTGTAAGTGTAAATGTCAAACTGCATTTCAGAAAAAGAGCATTTTGGCAGTGAAATTTGGCGGTGTGATGGTCTGGGCCTGTTGTGATGTGTAAACCATGAATTCTTCTGTCAAGTCCTGAAGGACAATGTCTGACCATCAAGCTGAAACAAACCTGTGTTCTGCAGCAGAACAACAATAATAAAAACATCCCAAGCACGTCCACCTCTGATTGGCTGAAGTAAAACTAATGAAGACGAGAGGTCTAGTCCAAGTCCTGACCCGAGTTCTATGCAGATGCTGAGCATGAAGCTTAAAAATGCGGTTTAGAGTGGCTAACTGTAAACCTTCACTTCAAAACCGCATTTCATGTGCACTTGTGTCGTCTACACTGAAGCAGTGTTAAAGTGAGGGTCAAGGCCTGGGTGGAGACGTATTTTATCCACACTTCCTGTTAGGAAAACGCTTCTGAAAGAGGCGTCTCCTGGCAGACCGAAAGAGTGGCACTAAGGCAGTGGTAGATCGCACCCCCCCAACACCCCCGCCTGCTGTCGCAGTTTCTCAATCTAAAAACGAGTTGTTAACGAGCGCGTGCACGCACTCACACAAGACTTACCCCCTCAGGAGAAGAACAGACACAGGTCCTGCAGCATTCTGGAGGATTTCCTGTTAAATGTGATAATTAGATGAAAAGGGGAGGAGGGTCTTTTTTCAAGGAGGCGAGTGGCTCAGAGCGCTAATGTGTGAGTGGCTGAGTCAGGTGGAGGTGCGGCTGCCTCACCTGGAGACCATTGCGGTGCAGCCACTTGGTAATTTGCTGACAACGTCACGTTTTTCAGCTCAGCCATCAGCCACAGCTGGTTCTACATGAATGTGGAGCAGAGTTTTTAACCTGAAGATGGAGATAGAATCATGGTTTTGGGCTGAAATACTAAATTTAAAGTAAGTTGCACTTAACTGCCACACTAATGATTACACATGTGTACATCACCATTAGACACTCAGTTATACAGGTTATCAGCAAAAAAAGTTAATTTAGGCGTTACTTGCCCTTTAGTTTTGACAAAACATGTAATTTAATTTTAG